ATTATAGATGTTAGATAATTATAAATATAAATGGATAGACAGACAGACTGATAGATGATGGATAATTATAAATATTAGATGATAGACAGATAAATAGATGGATGATAGAGACAGATGATATATAGACACATAGATAGAGAGATAGATGGATAAATATATGGATAGACAGACAGAAAGAAGATAATAGATAATTATAAATAGATGATTAGATAGATTGATACAGACAGATGGATGATAGAGACAGATTATAGATATAGATGGAGGGATAGGTAGATGAATAGACAGACTGATAGATGATAATTATAGATGTTAGATAATCATAAATATAAATAGATGGATAGACAGACAGACTGATAGATGATGGATAATTATAAATATTAGATGATAGACAGATAAATAGATGGATGATAGACAAGACAGATGATATATAGGCATATAGATAGATGGATGGATAAATATATGGATAGACACAGACAGAAAGAAGATAATAGATAATTATAAATAGATGATTAGATAGATTGATACAGACAGATAAGATGGATGATAGAGACAGACGGATTATAGAGATAGATGGATGGATAGGTAGATGGATAGACAGACTGATAGATGATAATTATAGATGTTAGATAATTATAAATATAAATAGAAGATAGATGGATAGACAGACTGATAGATGATGGATAATTATAAATATTAGATGATACATATAGACAGACCTATATAGAGATGGATGATAGATTAGACAGACAGACTGACAGATAGATATCATATCTTCCTTTCCTATCAATTTATAGAAAGCGTTCTGGCCCTCAAGGTCCTCAATTTGCGTATGACCATAGATGCAAATAAACGGCATAATATGTGCCCTCTTGCACATCTTTTCTTTAGGGCCATACTCCAATTGCGACTAGGACTAGTTCATTATGTTGAGGGCCAGAATGCTTTCCATAAATTGATGTGAAAGGAAAGGAGGAGGAGTTATCACTTTGTGACTAAACAGCGTATGGTACTCCTGTGCCATTTATACCTCACTTGAATGATGTGACTTCATGTGAGCAGCTAATCTGAATCGTGCCTTAAGCAGTGACCTAAAAGCTGACTCTGTTCTTTCCTTTTGAAGAGGGTCCCCTCTGTGACATGAAATGGGTCAGATCTGATGAGGACTAGCACCTTGCTGGGAACTTCCTTTCCTTCCACCAGAACGTACTGTGGCTCTCCAGGATCCTAGCAGTTGTTTAACTGTTGGAACATCCCTCCCCGTTTATGGCTCTTTTATTTAACCTTGGCAGTGTGAGAGCATAGAATGGATGGGATTCGGGGAGAACCTTGCGGGCGCTCTCCCAAAATGGCTGCCAGGGTTTTGCTGCATTCATTGCAGGGCTTCCCAAACTGGTGGCTATACACTGATTCCCCAGAATGTTTTTCCAGGACCTCGGTCTTTTTTCCCTGGGCAATGGGCATATTTCATTGAATTAGAACATCCAGAAGCTCCAGTTGGTGCAAAATGCAGCGGCCCGCATGGTTCTGTGCAGAGCACATGTGTCACCTCTCCTGTGGGAGCTGCATTGGTTGCCGACTTGCTTCCGGGTGCAATTCAAGGTGTGCTGGCTGTCACCTTTAAAGCCCTCAATGGCTTGGGACCAGGTGATCTGAGGGACCGTCTCTTGCCGGTCACATCTCCCCGACCCATCAGAGGCAGGGAATGTTGTGGGTCCCGTCCCTGAGGAAGATACACCTGGTGGGACCCAGAGGAAGGGCCTTCTCCGTGGTGGCTCCCTCTCTCTGGAATATCATCCCCCCAGAGATCAGAATGGCCCCCTCTCTAATACTCTTCCAAAAGGCGCTGAAGACCTGGTTCTGCCAGCGGGCCTGGGGAACCCAGAGTGGGATGGAGCCTATGAAATGGCTCGTGTGATCTACTGTCATCGGGGCGGGGTGAGAGTTGGGGGTGTGTGTGATTTTTTATTTATTTATTTTCCAGATTTTGTTCTACTGTACTTTACTCATTTATTTGAATATGTATATATAAAATATGAATATATATATACATACATACATACATACATACATATACATATACATATACATATACATATACATATACATATTTTCTGAGGTTCTCGCGGGTATTTGTATGTGGATCTTTGGTTATTCGGGTTTTCTCCCGCGTAAGATTGGAAGTATCTAGGCAACGTTTCGATGAAGTCTCATTCATCATCTTCAGGCTTCTGTCTTCAGCTCTGTGCTTAGGTGGCAATATAAATTCAATAAATAAATAATATTTCACCCAAAGTCACTTGGGTGGCTATAGAAACTGAAATGGAATAAATTAGCCAAACGAAGGCAGAGTTGCAGGCCTTTTCTAAGGATGTGCGCAGGAAATCTTTCCCTCTGGGACATCCACGCAGAGCTGGTGTTTGCTGTGTAGTGTGTCAGCTTTTACTCTGGGTTCAATTATGATTGTTGTTGCAGAAAAACCAACGGCCAGGGGGAAAAAAAAACCGGTGTGCACCTCGGCAGCCTATTGGAGACCCCCGGCTGCTTGCAAGCTGCGACTCCTTCCTTCTCTGGACCTTCTGCGCTCCTTTTATGCTCCAGCTGACCTCCTCCTCCTCCTCCTCCTCCTCCCTCTGTGCCGCTGGTTGCCTGGAAGGTGAAGATGCTCAGCCGTTTGTCGGGGCTGGCCAGCACCGTCCTGCACGAGCTCTCGGGGGACGGAGAAGATGCCGGGACAGCGCCGTCCCCCGCCGTAAGTCGCCTGTTCTCTCCCGGACCAGTTTGGCAATGAGGAAGTTGGTCCAATCCAACTCAGTCTCTTCTTAGAAGCCTCCAGTAATGGAGCACCTACAGCTTCAGTGGGAATAAAGCTGGAAGGGACTTTGGAGGCCATCCAGTCCAGCCCCCTGCCCAAGCAGGAGACCCTATATCGTTTCAGACAAGTGGCTGGTCCAGTATCTTCTTGAAAACCTCCAGTGATGAAGCACCCACAACTTCTGGTGGCAAGCAGTTCCCCTGGTTAATGGTCCTCACTGTTAGGAAGTTTCTCCTGAGTTCCAGGTTGCTTCTCTCCTTTTTTATTTTCCATCCGTCGTTTCTTGACTTGCCTTCCGTTGTTTTGGAGAATAGCTTGACCCCCTTCTTCTTTGGGGAGGCGAGCCATTCCACTGATTAACTGTTCGTACCGCAAAGAAATTTCTGCTTAATTCTAGGTTGGATCTCTCCTTGCTTTGGGGCAAGTCAGCCTACCATTACCGGCCGCCTTTTATTCAAAGCCAGCATTCTTCATTGTTCTTGAGTCAATTGGATGCTGGAACATGGACAGGGTCAAGCTGGTATCAAATTGAATGGCTGTGTCAACTCTCTAAATTAAGTAACTAAAGATAAGACAATCTTGAGTCCTTTGGAGCTGCCCAGAGTCACCTTATCAGTGGGGCAGCATATAAGTATAAATAAAGTATGAGAAATAAATAAAACAGTGGTATAGTGGCCTGGTGGTGGAGCTCTCGCCTCACCATCAGGAGGCTGTGAGTTCGATCCTTGGTAGAAGCCGATATTTCTCTTTCTGGGGACAATGAAAATATATCTGCTGAGCAAAACTCCACATTGGTGACAGGAAGGGCATCCGGCCAGTAAACATTCAGCTCCATTCAGTTGCCCAGATTCCACCCCACAAGGGATTGCGGGCTCGTTAAAAGATAAACAAAATAAAAGATAAACAAAATAAAAGAAAATTAATAAAAAGATAAATAAAAAGATAAATAAAGCAGCAGTCAGCACCACTTAATAATCTAGCAGGCAACCTATTCCGCATTTATATTTAATTTTAGTTTGATTTAGTTATCTTAGCCCTCAGCTTCAGAGGAAATAGGTAGTTTTTTAAACCTTTGAGAGTTGCTCATTTGTGGCAGAATGGACAGGTTGACCTTTTCAAAAAAAAAAAGAAAGTGACAATGAAGGGTACCTGGGCACTGTGTCTGGCCTCCTTTGTGCCTCACCCCCCCCTCCAGAGGCAGCGCCAAATGAATGGTGGGCCCCTTGTTCCTTCTCAGACATTCATGTACACCAACCCTCGTTTGGAGACCGAGAGCTTGGAAAGCTGCGGGGTGACTTAAGAACTTCTGCTTCCTGTTTCCCTCTCCTCCCCCCTCCCCCACAGGGACCGGAGTTTGAATCCAGCCAGCAGAACATGGAGGAGGAGAGCCCAGAAGATGTGCTGGAACGGCTGGCCCACATGGAGAAGCTGGTGGCGCAACTGAAGACACTGTTGCGGGAGAAGGACGCTCAGCTCCATCAGAAGGATGCCATGCTTGAGGTGGGTGGAAAGCGGATGCCCTCTTTCTCCAGGACAGGAACTTCCGTGTGTGTGTGTGTGAAGATGGGACTAGAACTTGCAGCCTCCTGGTGATTGGCCCAAAGTCACCTGTTGTCATGCCCCTGTCGGAGTCTGAATCCGAGGAGGAAGACGAACAGCTGACAGGGAGCAGGAGTATGGCTCCGTTGGCTGTGGAGGAAACTGGGGAAGGGCAAAGTCCATCTGGGCAGAGCAGGGGAGAGGTAGAACAAGGGAGGGGGATTTCGGAGGAAGATCCAGGCCCACCCCCTCTTCATCCCTGGGCACGCAGGGAAGAACGGAGAAGGGAGCAATGTGGGCTGCATGGCTTATGGGGAAGGAAAGGGCCCTGATTCCCTTCATTAGCCACACCTGGGAGTTTAAAAGAGATGCAAGCTGAGTGCGGTGTCTTCTGGGAACAAACATGAGTTTATCTTGTGTTGACTTTGCTTATCTGCATTCCTGGCTTCCTCCCAACCGTGTTGAATTATTGCCATGCCTTTACATCTGGAATTCTTGCTCCTGCCCTGCCGGATTAATTACCTCCTTTTGCCTTGATTGGACTTTAAGTTACAGTTTTTGTTGACCACATTTTGGACTTGATTCTCTGCAGCCAAAGGCTGTTCCTGGGAGAGTTTTTCTCCAGCCCAGAAGGTAACCAGGACATTGGGGGCAAAGTTGGAGCTAATAAAGGGACTCCCACTGATTATCTGACTGGGTTGCCTTTGTGCCACGCCCCTTTGGGTCCTCACACCTGTTGGCTTTCATGCCTAAAGGCGAGACTAGAACTCCCAATCTTCTTCTGATTGGCTCAAATTCACCCAGCTGGCTTTATTTATGACAACTGATGTTTACTTCTGGTTTTCAGCAACAAATACCCTATATTGAATAAAGAATTAACTTAATGGTGGGGTGGAAGTTTTAGCAGTTATCAGCAATGGGCTGTGCCTTGCCCCAGACTGTGCTGTTACACTTGGACAAGGTTGCCCCCCCTATTTCCTGCTGCATTTTGGGGCATGGGGGGGGGGGGACATAAGAACATTAGGATGGGTAGCGGGCTTGCTATATTTAAAAGGTGAAAAGTGATTCCCTAGAAGGATTTTTTTTATTAAAAAAAACAACAGGCTGGAAATCTTTCATGTGAAAACTTTGGCTACAGTAAAATTGTACATTTTTAGTTCAGCTGCAGCCGGTCCTTGACCTGGGACTGTAATGGAGCCTGCCTATTCCAATTGTAAGTTGTGACGGTTGTAGAGCAGGTCATCAAGTGACCAGACCTGATTTGATGGCCTTTTGAGGGGCACCTGTTAAATGAATACCATGATTGTTTAAGGTGGCTCCTTTGTTTGCTCTGAGGTGTTGCAAAAAAAAAAAAAAACCAGAAGTAAACACTGGTTTTAGTAAAAAAAACAACCATCAAAAATAAAGCCAGCTGGGTGACTTTGAGTCAATCACCAGGAGACTGTGAATTCTACTCCTACTTTAGACCTGAGTGCTGGTTGGGTGATTCTGGGCCAATCCCCAGGAGGTGGTGAGTTCTAGTCCCACTTTAAGGCAGGAAAGGCAGACTTTCGGCCAATCTCCAGGAGACAGGGAGTTCTAGTCCCACCTTTTGGGCCAATCACTGGGAGATGGCGAGTTCTAGTCCCCCCACTTAGGCAGGAAAGCCTGCTGGGTGATTTGGGGCCAGTTCTCCTCTTTCAGCTCAACCCACCTTACGGGAGGGGAAAAAGGAGGAAGGTGTCCTTGTGTCATTTGTGAAAGTAATAGAGGTGGGATATAAATCAATAAATAAACTGCAGAGGGGAGGTCACCTGGCCCTACAGGAATCGCCCCCAAACACCCCCAGCTTGTCCTTCTGGGCTGAAAGTGCCGGATCTCTCCTCCCCCCGGTGCAGAGGACATCACTCTCCCTCCCCCAAACCCCTCCGCTCAGATCAGGGTCTCCGGACGTCCCCCCTCCAAGGCTGCCCCCGACACCCCCGGGACTCTCGCCCCTGTGTGTGACGTTGTGGCTCCCCTCCAGGAGGAGAGGCAGGCGGCCGAGGCAAAACTGCTGAAGCTGAAGCTGCAGGCTAAAGTGAAGGTGGCCCACCTGAACAAGCGCATCGAGGAGCTGGCGGCCCAGGGAGGGGCAGCACCTGCCGAGGGGCAGCCGGAAGAGCCCCCGCCTCCTGTCCAGGTGAGCCCCCCCCCCTCCCCTCCACCGGGACCAAGTCATCCATCTCCAAGCCAGGCGGGACGAAGGAGAAGCTTTCCTGCGGATCAGCTGTCCCTCCTAATGTCTCTTTTTTTTAAAAAAAATATATATTTTTATGGAGTTTCTTTTTTTGACATCATAAAACATCATGGTTTCGATAGCGTTCTTGGCATCCATACAGGTTTTTGGTTTAAGTATCATCATACATTATATTACATTTGTCTAATATTAACGAATAACTTCAACTATGATTACTATCCTTCTATCTTCGTATAATTTACAAGTTTATGTTTTACTCTCTTAAGGACTATTCCAGTTAGGTTTCTTGTCTCACTTCTTAGTTCTGTTTGTTAACCATGTAGGCCCTCCTAATTGTCTTTCTTGGCTGACGGATGGGGTCCCACTCGGCCACGGGGAGCCCTTCCCATACAGAGAGACCCTCTGCCCACTTCCTCTGGCCAACGTACCCCCCTCCGATAACACATGGACCCAGGGGAGTTTTGGCTAAAACATGAAACCATTTGAAAAGTCCAGGCCTGCCCAAATCTTCTCCAAAAACTCCCCTACCTCTCTTCTCTTCTGCGCCATCAGGGTGACCACAGCCTAAGCGAGGGGCCGGTGGACGAGACGGGCGCGCTCAGGAGGCAGCTTCAGGAGCAGGAAGAAACGGTGAGGGAGCTCCGAGGGCAGCTGCAGGAAGCGACGGGAAGACTCGGGGATGCCCAGGCCCAGGTAGGGAATCCGAGATGCTCCCCTGGGGCTTTTTGGGGTGGTTTCCTGGCCTCTTGGGATCTTCTCAGGCCGATATTGGCAAGGGAACATGAGTAGAGTAGAGTAGAGTAGAGTTGAGTAGAGTAGAGTAGAGTAGAGTAGAGTAGAGTAGAGTAGAATATTCTTTATTGGCCAAGTGTGATTGGACACACAAGGAATTTTTCTTTGGTGCAAATGCTCTGAGTGTACATAAAAGAAAAGAGACATTCGTCAAGAGTCAAGAATCTACTCGTAATAATAGTCGTAGGGTACAATAAGTAATCAAATCATACTAGGAAATAGTCAATATAGATTGTAAGGATACAAGTGACAAAGTTACAGTCATCCAGTCACAAATGGGAGGGGATGGGTGATAAGGAGTGATGAGAAGATTGACAGTAGTAGTAGTGCAGACTTAGTAGATAGTTGGACAGGGCTGAGGGAATTATTACTCAACGACAGTAAATTATAGATTTCTAGGTGTTTTCTCTGGTGAAATTCGTATAACTTGTCCAGCAATGCTCTGGCATTTCCGTACACAGTTTAAAATTGTGGTCCAAAGTTGCCTGCTAAAGCATGCTGCCAGTTTTGGTCTAGTGGTTAAGATGCCAGACTAGAAAGCGGGAGAATGTGAGTTCTAGTCCCACCTTAGGCATGAAAGCCAATTGGCTGACTTTGGGCCAATCACCAGGAGATGGTGAATTCTAGTCCTGCCTTTGGCATGAAAGCCAGCTGGGTGTCTTTAGGCCAATCACTCACTCACTCTCTGCCAACCCACTTCACAGGGTGGTGGTTGTGGAGACAACAGAAGAAGGAAGGTGTGTTGGACATGTTCCCCACCTTATCTGTAGAAATAATAAAGGGGAGATACGAATAAAATAATGCATAAAACAGGAGCCACAGCCTCTCAAGAGGCACCCGGTGGATGATGGATACCCTGTATGGGAGGGTTTCGCCTCCAGGTGCCTGGCACTGTTGTCTCCAGTTCGGGTCTGAGCCCGGTGCCGAAGCCAATGATGGACGCCAGACACGAGGTGAAGGTTTTGCTGATTGCTTTTTATTGGAGTCCTCCAAGGAAAAGGGGCTCCTGGTCAAAATGCCAAGAGCCCAGAACAAAGGATAGAGCAAGTTTTATACATTTTCTCTAAGGGAGAAGGTGGGACAAAGCGAGATAATAAGAAATATCATCTAATAAACATTTCAGTAATAATTCTACAATTTGTTCTATTGGTCTCTAGCTGTCCCTATTCCTAAGTCTTGGCTAATGAAATCCCTAGGAGTTACTTAATACACATTGGATTTGCTCCAGGCCTAACTTTTAGTTGAGGTCTGCAAGTTGTCAAACTCGTGTTAGCTTTCATCAGCTCTCTAACTAGCCAGGATGGTTACGAGATTTACACAGGCATATCTCCTGTGGATAAGCATTCTTTGTTCTTGCCAGGCAGACTCCACAATGACAGGCTTCCTGATTTACTTTCAAATGTGTGTATGACCTGGCTTTATTTTAGCAGACGGTCCATCAGCATCTTTGAACCCAAAGCATTTCCCCAACTTCCCAGCTGCACATGGAAGGGGATCGTTTTAGCACTGTCTCTTTTCCGCTCAGAGGCTCCAGTGGTTTCCATCGATTCCCCTGAGGCTTCCCCATTGTAATAATCCTCCTTATGTTTTATTCTTCTCTCGGCAGATCAGCTGCCTTCAAGGGGACGTGCTGGAGAAAGAGTCACTCCGCGAAGAACAGGCTCTCCAGCTTCAGGCAGAAATCCACCAGGCAGAGGCCCGCCAAGCCGAAATGCAGCAGGTGGGTTGGGCTCTGGGAAAGCTGCCCGCGATTTACAGGCGGTTTTCAACTTGCAGTTCATGTAGGGACCGAAGTTACAACGGCGCTGAAAAAAAAAAATGTGACTCACGACTGTGTTTCACAGTTAACGACGGCTGCAGTATCCCCATAGCCCAAGGGTCTCCAAACTTGGCCAAGTTTAAGGCTTGTGGACTTCCAGCTCCCAGAATTCCTGAGCTAACATAACTGGAGGAGGAATTCTGGGAGCTGAAGTCCACAAGACTTCAAGCTGTCACGTTTGAAAACCCCTGCCATAGCCACACGATCAAAATTCAGAGGCTTGGCAACCGACTCGAAGTTACGACACTTGCAGTGTCCATGATTCCCCGTTTGCAGCCTTCCAATGAGCAAAGTCAGTTGGCTTTGGGAGCCAGTATTAACTAACCAGTATTAACTAGCCAGTATTAAGGGGGGGGAGCCAGTATTAACTAACTAAACAGCTATAACTTTCGGTCACTAAATGAACTGTAAGTCAAGGACCACCTCAGCTTCCAAGCGCTTCATTAAGCGACTGTTTGACGTTTCAGTGGCCCTGAAAAGGGGGCAACCCATAATAATCATGCTTTTACACTGGTACACCACAGAGTTGCGTCTGGAGTCCCTTACTCTATACTTTTTACGTGCATGACTGCATTTCCACTCATGCTAGTAATACTATTGCTAAATTTGTAGATGATACGATAGTGGTGGGACTCGTTTCCAGGGGGCAGGATGAGTCTGCCTACCGAGACGAGGTGGACCAACGGTTGCTTTCGTGGTGTGGAGACAATAACTTGGTCCTCCACACCACTAAGACCAAGGAGCTGATAGTGGACTATACAGAAGGAACAGATCAGACATCCAGCCCTTGCTTCTCAAGGGAGACCGAGTGGAGCAAGTGGACAGTTTGAAGTTTCTGGGTGTTACCCTAAAAGAGGACCTGACCTGGGGGGCTCACATTGCAGCCCTGGTCAAAAGGGCCCAGCAGAGATTATACTACCTGAGGCTTCTCAGGAAACAACAACGGAATGGAAAACTGCTGGTGACCTTCTACCGCTACACCATAGAGCAGGGGTCCCCGGACTGGTACCGGTCCGTGGATCATTTTTTACCGGGCTGCAAAGCTTGGGCGCTGCCATCTTGTTTCGACGGCGTTTCCGGGTTTTTGGTTGCTTTCGGGTTTTCGGTTGGAAAGCGTTTGCTCATGCCTTAGTTTCGTCGAAGAGGGGGAGCGGCTTCAAACGAAGAGCCGTCCCGATGGCAGTGGAGTCTCGCGTTATTCAGGTACCGGTCCGTGGAAGAATAAATAATCGTGAAACCGGTCCCTGGTTCAAAAAAGGTTGGAGGCCACTGCCATAGAGAGTATCTTAACTTATTACAACTCTGTATGGTTTGCCAATTGCACAGGGGCAGATAGGACAGCGCTCCAGGGGGTTAACTTCATTGCCCAGAAGATCATGGGTTGCCCTCTCCCCTCTTTGGAAGAGCTTTAGAGCTCCCGCTGCCTTAAGAAAGTTCAAAACATCCTCAAAGATCCATCTCATCCTGGGCACTCCCTTTTTTTTTACTATTACCATCTGGCAGATGGTACAGGAGAATAAAAACAAGGACAAAGAGGCTGAAAAAAACAGCTTCTATCCCAGGGCAGGAGCTCTGTTGAATTCTACTGTATAGCGCAATATTAATGCAATATCAGGGGTTTTCAATTCAATTGCATAGAATGTGAAGGATGCGTGTTTGTGTTTATTTTCATAGTCATAACGTATACAGAAGATGGTATTTAATTTCGTTGTATGAGGTGCAGTGACAATAAACTAAACTAAACCTATGACCATGGCATGGTCACGTGATCAAAATCTGGCTGCTTGGCAGAAGAATCAAAATTTGGATCTCGGCTCCTACTTATGATGGTCACACAGTCCCGGGAGGTGTCACATGATCCCCTTTTGTGACCTTCTGACAAGCAAACTCAAGGGGGAAGCCAGATTCGGTTAACGACCGAGCTATCAACTGCAGAGATTCACTTACCGACTGAGGCAAGGAAGGTCGTAAAATGGGGCAAAACTCACAGAACAAATGTCACTTAACAACATAAATTTTGGGTTCAGTTGTTGTCGTAAGCCGAGGATTCCCTATATCTCTCCAGAGGCAAAGCCAGCTGTGAGAAAAATCTGTATTTTAGTCTTGTGGCTTTTGAACCCCCTTTTTTTTGGGGGGGGGGGTCCCTCTTTCTCTCTCTCCACAGAATCTGAGGCAGCTGCAGCGAAAAGTGGAGGAACAAGAGGAGGCTTTGCTGGGCCGGACACAGGTGGTCGAACTGCTGCAGCAGGAACTGAATGTCATTCAGGGGGAAAAGCAGGTATCGCCCCGGGGTTTCCCCAACCCAAAAATAATATTGCATTTTATTGCATGCTGGAGCTGCCCTGGAGTCGCTCTCGGTTTGCAAAATAATAATAATAATAATAATAATAATAATAATAATAATAATAATAATAATAATAATAATGCACGCATCCAGGGGCAAAACTCGTCCCTGGCTTTTAAATAAAACAAATCAACATTTTAATATTGACCTACGGTCAGGCGGAAAAAACGAACGACCATTGAAGACTTTGTTTTAAAAACAGGAAGTTTGTTCAGAGTATCGTAACGTAAATTCAGCGCTAGAAAAGCAAACACAGATGGCTGAGGCTTCCTTTAACTTCTTTATAAACACAAGAAGTAAATTTTACAATACCAGTTGTAGATTTTCTCCAGCATGGAGCAAACTCAAACAGAAGCAGATATGTTACAGGTTCAGAGTGGAGCTCTACTTTTCGGCAAGCAAGTTAGTTTCTCTCTCACTTTAGAGCTAAGCACAGAACCCAGGTAAACCATGTCCAGATTCTCTCTCTAAGTTTCACCCTTCAACTCAGCTCTCATTGGCTGACCTCTATTCCAGTTCATGAATATACTCTGACAAAGCCTCCGCTGGACTTTTGGCTGAAAGAAAAAAGGGGAAAAAAAGACAGAACTGGGGATTTAGGGATTTGAGGATTAGAAAGGGTTAGAGAGGAAAGAGGTGGCAATTCCTTGATGCGAGGAAGAGCCAACGTTCTATGTTTTCTTCTTCTTTTTTAAAAAAATCCTTTTTCTGATTTTTATATTAGTTTTTTAAAAAAACTTTTATTGTCTCGTGAAATATCTTTTTAAGAAATCTCTTTACATTAGAGGCATAGTTTTCTGGATTGGATATTTCCCCCCTGGGCCATCTTGGCTGCATTCTGGCCATGTCAGGGTGTGCAGTAAACCGCCACCCATCCAGCAACGTGGCTTTTGCAACTTCTATGCACAAAGCTCCCTTCTTCTATCCCCAGAATACCCCACATGGGCTCCTGAGAACAAGAAGGGGAAATTGTTGTGGCCCTCCAGCGGCCAGCGGAGCTGGTGGCAGAGTCGGACGCTGAGGAGGTTGGGGAGGAACCTGGGCTAGTCCTGGAGTCTGGGGGAGGCTCTGCGTCGGAGGCAGAGATGGGGACCAGGGCCGTCTGGCAGTTATCAGCTGCCTTTGGAGTTGGAGATCAGTGGGGCAGAAGAACAGCTGGAGCCTGTTCCCAGTGTGCGCATGCGCAGAGCTGCCAGGAGAAGGGAACAGCTAAGGAACAAGGGTTGACTCGGGAGTAAAGCCACAGGTGGACAGGGAATGGCCCCTCCCAGAGGGAATAAAGAGGAGTGAAAGGGGAGTGGGGTTTGCAGGAGACCATTAGTTCGTTTAATTAGTATGAAGATCTGTTCCTGACTTCTTGCCAAGTCATTGGTTTGGAAGGTATCAGCCTGGCAACGCTCCAAGCCTGATCAAGGCCTGTCATGGTGAAATCTCTTGAAAGACTGGTTGCCGGGACTTTGCTGGACAGGAATTCCCTTTAACCTAAATAAAAGGGGTTTTATCGGGACGAGGAGTCGGCTTCATGATCTTGGGAAGCTTAGGTCAAAACAGAAATGACGATTCCTTCCCCCGCCCCCCAAAAATTCCTCTGCTGTCCATTTTTTGTTGTCTTGTCCTTAGTGAAGATGGTGTCCTCCCATCTTGGGCTGAGCTCCACGCCTTTCTCTTCCCTAGAATCTCCTGGAGAAGTTGCAAAAGGCAGAGGCGGCGCTGGAGACCTCCAGAACCACCCTGGCTTCTGCCCAGGAGGAATCCCGAAACCTGGTCAAGAGCCTGGAGCTGGAGCTGGCCGAGCAGAAGGCGGCTTTCCAGCAGAGCCAGGAGGAGGTTGAAGAGATGCGCCAAGAGCTGGCCCGGGCAAAGGCGGCCCAGACCGAGTGGGATCAGGAGAGGCAGGCCGAGGTGGCCAGGCACGCTCTGGAGGTGGCGGAAAAGAACCAGGAGATGGTTGAGCTTCAAAAGGCAGAGCAGGACCTCCATGCCAGTTACGAGGCCGTCCAAGCGGAGAACGCCCAGCTGTGGCAGAAGGTGGATGCGCCAGCGGAGAGCTCGCCTGACGATGCTTCTGCCACGCCAGGTCAGAGAAACCTCCTGTCAGGAGGCAGCGGCGTCCTCCAGAAGGAACGGAAGTATCAACAGGAGAGAATCCTTTGTAGCTCCGGGTTGAGATGAGGGGCCTCTGGGCTTGGGGTTTTCTTGCAGACGTTTCCTAACCCAACTAGGGGACCTTGTCAGTGCTAGAAGGGAGTGGGGTTTATGGAGAGGAAGAGGAGGAGGAGGAATAGGAATGGCTGTGGGGTCCTCAATGCTTTCTCTGAGCTTGGTGGTTTTCTTGCAGACGTTTCCTGACCCAACTAGGGAACGTCATCAGTGCTAGAGGGGAGTGGGATTTGTGGAAGGGAGGGAGGAGAAAGAGGAAGGAAGAAATGAAAGAAGGGCTGTGGATTCCTTGGTGCTCTCTGAGCCTGGTGGTTTTCTTGCAGACGTTTCATGACCCAACTAGGTAACATTGTCAATGCTAGAAGGGAGTGGAGTTAATGGAGGAGGAGGAACGGGAAGGAGAGGAGAAGGAGGGAAAGAAGGAGAGGAGAAGGAGAAGCGGAGGAAGGAGGAGGAGCGGAGTGATGGAGGAGAAGGAGAAAGAAAAAAAGGAGAAAGGAAGAGGAGGAGGAGGAGGGGGAGAAGGAAGACTGGGGTCCTTGTTGCTCTCTGAGCTTGGTTTTCTTGCAGACGTTTCATCACCCAACTAGGGAACATCATCAGTGCTGGAAGGGGAGTGGGGTTTGTGGAAAGAAGGAAGGAGGAAGCGTGAGAAGGAAGAGTCTGAGGTCCTTGGTGCTCTCTGAACTTGGTGGTTTCCTTGCAAACCTTTTGTGACCAAACTGGGGATTGTGAAATAAGAGAGAGGGGTTTGCAGCAGAGGAGGGGAAAAGAGAAGGAAGGAAGAGGAGGAGGAAGGAGGGAGGAGGAGAAGGAAAAAGAAAGAACTCTGGGGTCCTTGATGCTCTCTGAGCTGGGTGATTTTCTTGCAGACATTTCACGACCCAAGTAGGGAACATCATCCGTGTTGGAAGGGAGTGGGATTTGTATAGTGGAAAGGAGGAGGAGGAGGTGGAGGAGGGCTATGGAGTCCTGGGTGTTCTCTGAACTTGGTGGTTTTCTTGCAGGCGTTTCGTGACCCAACTAGGGAGCCCCATCAGGGTTAGAAGGGAGTGGGGGTTTGCTCTCTATTTACATACTAGTGGGAGTCTTCTCCTTGGCTCCTTGATCAGGCTATAGTTTATTGTTTGACTGTCTGAGTTGGTGATTCCTAATTGAGGTATTGTTTACTGCTGGATTCAAGGAGTTTACCCATTCAGACAAATAAGCCAACAATAAACAATCGTCTAACCAAGTGACCAAGAGCAATCCCAGCATCGGCTAATAGTATATAAATAGAGATTAATGCCTATTCCCAGGGATCCTCATTCTATTCCCGAATCACCTGGACAGATTCTCCATCAGATGGTGGGTTTTTTCTTCTTCTGGTTAGGTTGTTAGCACCTTAAACCCCACATTTTGATTGGTTGTAAAATGTCAACCATTTAATTGGAATAGAGCTGGAAGAGACCTTGGAGGTTTTGTAGTCCGACCCTCTTCCCAAGCAGGAAACCCTATACTATGTCAGACAGGTAGCTGTCCAGTCTCTTCTTAAAAACCCTCCAGTGTTGGAGCGCCCACGACTTCTGGTGGCAGGCTGTTCCACTGGTTCATTGTCCTCCCTGTCAGGAAATTCCTCCTTCATTCCAGGTTGCTTCTCTCCTGGATTAGTTTCCATCCTTCGCTTCTTGGCCTGCCTTCTGGTGCTTTGGAGAATACGTTGACCCCTTCTTCAAATACTGGAATACTGATATCATGTCCTTCATTTTTTTTCTCTAGACTAACCAATTCCTGCAACTGTTCTTCATACGTTTTAGCATCCAGTCCCTTAATCCTATTTGTTATTCCTCTCTGCACTTTTTCCAAAGTCTCAACATCCTTTTTTTGTAATGTGGGGACCAAAACGGGATCCGGTATTCCAGGTGTGGCCTTACTTATTAGGCTTTATAAAGTGGTGCTAATCCTTCCCGTGATTTGGATTCGATGTCTCTGTTGATACAACCCAGGATTGTATTGGCTTTTTTGGCTGCCGCCGCGCATGGCTGGCTCATGTTTAAGGGATCGTCCATGAAGACACCAAGGCCCCTCTCACAGTTACTGTTTTTTTGAGCCAGGTTTTGCCTAATTTCTATTTGTACCCTTGTGGGGTTTTTGCCTAGGTACAAAATCTTGATTTTTCTCCACATTAAATGTCATTGTGTTGCATAGGGCCCCTTGTTCAAGATCTTTTTGGATCCCGAGCTTGTCTTCTGGGGTGTTGGCTATTCCTGCCAGCTTCATGTCATCTGCAAATTTGACGAGTTCCCCTTCTTTTCCCTCACCTAAGAGGATCCCCTGTTACTATGCTACTATCTATTACGATGCTACTGTGCACATACTCCTATGCTCGGACACTATGCCGGTATCCTCTGCTCAGGAACAGCCCAGCAGGTCCGTGGTGCCCGTGGCAGCCTTCAGGATTTTAAGTCCTTTCCATTCTTTGCCAAAGGAAAATGACCCCCCAGGTCAGGCTGCTCCTTAACCAGGAGCAGATTTAAGGAATGGGCTTCAGTTGGTGGCTGTTTTCTGCTTATCTCAGCTTGAGGGTGTGTGTGTGTGTGTGTCTTATTACACTTTTGGGGGAAAACTCATGTTGTGTTTCCTGCCTCAGGTGAGACCCCCAAAAGGTGCCCGGAGCTCGGCTTGTCTCAGCCAGAACTGGAAACAGCTACAGGGGTCCCGTCTCCTCCCCTGAGCCAGGTAATTGCTTCCATCGGTACCTTTGCAGAAGAGGTGGCGAGGCCAGGTTTCCTGGGAAGAGACCGCAGGGAAGGCACGTAGTAAAATAAAGGAAAGTAGGTAAGGTAAAGGTCCTCCGTCATTCCGGACACGGTTGTCCC